GATCAACGATTAATAGCTGAGTCGACATTATCATCCGCACTTTCAACAGTAGTGCAGCAGTCCACTGATCAGTTAGTCAATGTAACAATTAGAAAAATTTCTCGAGCAATTTTAACATCATCTTCAGCGTTATTAGCTGTGAAAGATATTATTTTAAGGTCTACACATGCTAGTGTGTCAACTCGGACGGCAGCAGTTGGACAGTTGATAAAAGATTGTCTATTACATAAAGATTTTTATTGTGCTACGTTGAACAAGAAAGAGAACACTTTAAAAGCTCAAATCGGTTATCTGAAATGTTTTCCTGCCGATTTTGATACTGTTTCGAAAACGAAATTTATTCATACATTACATAAATATGATCTCGACTGGTCACAATATCTCGCATCGTTTAATAACGGTAAACCGATCGAATTTGATCAAATATCACAACAACCGATAATTAACGCTGATAATAATGTAGCAACAAAAACTAAATTTTATCTATCGGAATTGGCTCAAACAAAATTCAATTCATCGAATTTTTACCGGTGTTTTGTAAAATATGATGAGAAGATCGTATTACGCCCGAGACGACCGGTTGCTACGTCGTTTTCCGATACAAGTAAGGTGTTTACAACCTGCACTGATTAATACAGATCCATCATCGAGGCGGGCCATACCAGGGTACCAACGTCTTACAGTAAGATGAATACGATGAGACCATTCTTTAAAAGAATGTGATTTTTGACCGGGGGTATAAAATCGAATAGATTGACGACCATCGGTATTACGGAACATGAGCGTACCATTCATAGCTTTCTGTCAAAACATATAAGATGAGACAAAAGTTATTTAAAAAATATTTAGAAACTCACCGTAGCTTCATCTCCTCCAACATTAATCAAAGCAACATTAATCTTCACGTTAGATCAGTCAAATCTAAGATTTAGCCAGCTATCAGTCATTCATCAACCATTTTGTTTGAGGAAGGAACGAAGCGAACAGACTTTAAAGACTAATGTGATTAGTTTACGATTGAAAATATTATTAATTTTCTTCTGTTGTTCTCTTATTCTGGGAGTACTATATACGTTATTCACATTGCATCATATTCTGCTCGACAGTTGTGCGTGTGTACTTCCATATTAATGTCAGTATATATAGTCTCTACTTTTGCCAATTTATTGAAACACTTCAAATTAATTATGTCGTCTTCTTCCATTTCAAATACAACTCTTTCTTCTGCTGATACTTCTGCTTTACCGTCAGATACGCATGAAACGAAATTTTATGATGAAGTAGAAAAATATGTTAATTCGTTGGACGAGAAATATTGAGATAAAACTTTCATAAAAAAACAAACGTGTGATGGCATTTTGAAAGTTTGTTACTTCCAAAAGGTAAGACTGGAGACCCTTCATCTGTTAAGTTTAGATTTTGGTGTAGACAAAAATGACAAGATTGCAAAGTGACTTAATAGATATGCGTACAAGACCCGATATTGTAAGTAGTGAATTGTTTATCCTTGGATTCTTCATTGTATCGATCATTTTTCGAAATTTACATTTGCTTATCCGCTGCAAAATAAATCAGCTGTTGAGGTTGCGTCGAAACTTCGTAAATTGTTTTTTAGTTTTTGTCCACCACATTTATTACACTCGGATAATGGTGCAGAATTTGTTGGCCAAGTGATTGTTGAACTGAAAACACTTTTTCCAGATATGTGTTTTATTCGAGGGAGACCACGACATCCACAATTACAAGGTTGTATAGAACGTGCTAATAGTGTTTTAAGTGTTACTTTAGGAAAATGGCTTGATACAAATCATTCAACTCATTGGTTAGATGGTCCTCTCCCAGTTATCTACGGTACAAATACTAGAGTTTCATCAACAACAAAAACAACACCTTATGAGACAATGTTTGGGCAACAACCACGCTCAAATTCTGAGTTTTAGCAATAGTTAACTGCAGAAAAAAACAATTCGCAACAATGATACTTTGTTTTGTTTCTGTAATGTCAGAAAAAAACAAGCTGATAACAACAACAACAGAAAAACGCGTTTCTCTACAACTGTCTTTAAACGTGGGTTTTCTCTAAGAATCAAAGAAAACGGAAAAAACATCAATTTTTTCTGCGGTTCTACATGGTGAAAAGGAGATTTTTCAGTTTTTATGTAAAAGGTAAAAACGTCGCTGTTTTCTTTCAGACAAGCTCAGTAGAAAATTTGGCAATGGATAGAACCTAAATTACATTTTTTAATCCATTCACGTCGGACCACTATACAGTGGCCATTTTTTCGTAGAGCAGGTGGACATCTGGTTTTATGTGTTGAAAAATGATTATTTTCGCATAATATTGTCTTATTATGTGTGAAATTTTAACAGAAGGAAGAAAAGTCGAAAACAAATTTTTCCCAATGAAAAATTCCTGAGGGGGTATCTTACACTGAATTTTTCTCAAACAATTGTTTATTTTTAAAACTAATAAGTGATCCATCACACGATGTAGTTTTTTATGCTGATTCCAGATATCACCTTATTTTTTAACACGAGAGTTTCTCCAAGAAACCTCAAAATAGCTCAAAAACCGAACGCTTTTTAGAAAACCTATAACTCAACTTTGGGAAATATGTGTATTTATGTGCAATCACATTAGATGCTGTAGATGTTGACGAACATTTTGAAGCTGTCTAGGGAGGTGGATGTAGATGGATAGCTCATTACAATCATAGCACCTGTTCCCAGTATGCGGTCATCGGTACACTCACTATTAGGGATGTTCGGTTCCCGATTCTGAAAGACCATTCTCCTCATCATATCTTCACTCTATAAGCCCTAAAGTTGTAACTCTAAGTCAAGTGGATGTTGGCAGAAAACAGGCTCACAACTTTTGGTGGTAAATTCCATTTTCGAGTCGATAGAAATATTTTTGGGACAAGATATAGAGTAATGCATGTCAAGATACATTTAAGGTAAAAGTTTCTTCAAAAAATATTCGATGATTATTGACACGAAGTGTTTCGTTCTGGAGTTCAGTCGCTTCGAATCAGTTCAGCGAGTCCAATCGTTGTACTTTAATCGTAGTCGAATAGAGGATGAGCTATAAGTAGCAAAAACTTGAGCTCGTCGATCGATGATATAGAGTACCCTGGACTAATTATCGATAAAGTTGAACACAATCCTTTGAGTGTAGCATTTTTTTATGAGATCGAAAATAGTCAAACTTTTTCCAAATAACATGTGTTTTACCGAAGTTCAACGGTATTTTGTGGTATAGTTGTCGCCCGGTTTATTATGAAAAACCTATGCAAACATCAACGTTTCTCTACTGATGCTAACCTTTCTCCAGTACTCTTCTAGAAATTCACTCGTCGGCAGTGTTTACTTCTAGTTTAATCTAACAAAAGTTAATGGAAAAAATGTTTTAGTGTCATTAGATACACTATGAACTAGTTAAGAATTCCTCTGCTTTTCTTTCGTGTTCATAAGCCAACATTATTTTAATCACTTTTTTGGATAAAAAACGAATTACTATAACATTATTTTATTTATTCTCTATTGTAAAGCGACCACATGACCAATGTAAAGAAACGACGTCAACAAAATCAACATTGATTTTTCACTCGAAGTCATGCAACTGGCGAAAAAAGAGTTTAATAAAAAATCTCTCAAACATATTCTTATTCTAGAATAAATTTTCGACGTATCTTAACAGAAACTCAGTGTATTTATATTGTTGGAAAATGAACAACGCTCAGGGCTTGTTTT